GTATTTTTTTTAAGTACTTACCAGTTTTAAAGTCTGCCATCTCAATCTTAAGCAGAAAGTATTCGCAATATACTTAAAGCGCCAAAAGTTAATAAGTGTGGAAATCGGCATTCTTGTTTTTTTATATTGAATAAATCTGAATCAAATGCAAATAATAATACTAAGTTTTTCTGGTGATCTGGGCGCCTCATGTACCAAGCTGAGTCCTTACTGCAGCGGGCCGTGGGCTCTAACACCAAGAAGTAGTACTAAAATTATCAAATAATGTGGATGAAAGTCTACAACAACAACAACAACAACAAACACAAACAACAACCTGCATCCCCTAATTCGTCAGGTACCGAAAAGACTGGTGATAAAGGAACACCTGATGATTTTTCACGATTTTTTTTTTTTTTTTTTATCATAATGAGCTACAGACAAATTATGAGCCAAATACAATTGATCTTGTCATTCGTCGAAAAAACTTAGAGGTGCTTTCTTATAAGAACAAGTAACTGGTGTTGTCGATGTATATTCAAATCTTAAATAAAAAAGAATATAAACATCTTGACCAAAAAGAGGTCCTTTCTTTACAGAACACTGTTAAACACTGTTTTTGTGTCTTTGTGCAACTGAAGTAGTTACTTCACGTTAATAATAAAGAATAACGGATTTTTAAAAAACAATCCCACATAAAATATAACATCAAAACATAAAATCTCTTCAATATGAGACTGGTTTGTGTAATTTCTGGGGGCAATTTTTCGCTCAGGAGGTGGGTTAACGTTGTGAGTAAAGTGAAACAGATCAGCTGAAGGGCTGTTAGCCTGTGGCTCTGCCCAGAGTCCAGGGTACTGGGCTGCCCCTCGTGGCGCTGTGCCTTGAGGTAGGACGATACGGAGCAGGCCGTCACACGACAATATTGCTCAAGGACTGCAGGAGGAATTGTATCTTACCTTTGCTAAGGGTGACGAATAATCTGGCAATTAGCCACTTGCACTATGATGGGAGGTCATAACGTGTTCGCCTGTTTGTTGTTTCTCATAAATCATGTTCTTATTATATTGATTGTAAGGAACTGAATGAGAAGTATCTTTATTTTATCTTTTTCTATCAACAGTATTTTATTCTATTGTTGTATATTATTGTATTCTTAATGTACGCTGGCTTAATCTATCTTCTATCTCTCTATCTCTCTATCTGTGTGAGTAAAAGACGCAGTGCAGCCTTGTAGACACACAGATGGGACAGAGGCATGTGTTGTGACTCAGGACGTAGCAGAACACATTAATTAACTCTGGGAATGTCACGCATCTGTGCCGTGTCTCCTCCTTATTCCAGTTTTCTGTTGAGCGACTACATGGAGCGGATTCCACAGCCGTGTTTGTGTATGTCGGTGGGATTTAACGAGGGCTTCGCCGCCGCTGTGAGTCACTGGCTGCTGACGGAAGTGCAGCGCCCTCACGATTATAGGGTGTTGGGTTGCTATTTAGATTGAAACCACTACCGGAGAGAATAAACGCTGCTTTCTCATTATCGATCCAGAGTGGGGAGCCTCGAATTACTTCCTCAGTCAGCTAATTTTAAATAAATATTTCATCCATCATGTGTGTCAGTGAACGCTGTAATTGGGTAGAAGTATTTGTCTGCGGCTTGTTTTGCAACCCTTTCAGTCCTGTGTCGACAGTCAGCCAGCTGTTTAAATAGCATCTACACCAAACTGCCTCTGCGTCCCCCTCGTTTCTTGAAGAAAGCCTGCGGTTTTTCCTGGTTTCTCATGTTGTTGTAATGTAGTTAACTCTGTGTGTCATCCACCACAACCCTACAGTCAGACTGATGAAGAGCAGGCACCCGTCCCATTCCTTGTCCCTGAGTCAGATTGTCTTTGCCCGCTGCTAATCCACTTTCAGGCCTCATTTTTGTGAAATCAGGGTTCATTTGTCTCTTAGCATCAAAATGTGACACGATGGTTCTACTTTGATTTAAATCAAACCGGGATTTAACATATTAATATACGCTGCACATATAAAAATAGATGCTAAAACAAGTTGCGAACGCAGCATCGTTTATTTCGCGTTGTGTTTCTGTCCCTGTTGAATTTAAAGTCACTCTCTTGTAGCTCTGTCAGCTCCTGATGGAAATACGACCTTCAAGCTGCTAAATGCTCCACTATGTCCACCAGCTAGTGTCTGATGTCTGTCTGCTGTGTGGAGCTGAGCAGGTAACGCACAGTGGGTTTTTATAACTCTTTTGTTGAAAACAGTTGCCTGCTGTGAGGGTGAACACAAACCGTGAAGCTCCTGAACTAAGCAATGAGGTGAAAACTTGTTTATAAAGCTCTGTAAATCTTTGGGCAACTGCAGGTTCTTTACAAGAAGAGAAATAAAAGCTTTCTTTGTTAATAGTTTTATTGTTGTTGTGTTTAAACGCTCAGCAGATTGTGGAGTTCTCTGTCTGCTTTTCCACATCTGCAAGTCTCTGTTTTTATTGATTCATAACATCCTCTTAGGGCTGCTCCCTAAACATCAATGATTCAAATTATCAGTCCAGAAGCTCGGTGTCAAATGACATTTTGTCAGTCAAATCACTGTAGTGTCTTTTAGCTGTGTCATTGTACACAGAGTAACATAGGACAGCGTTATGGCAGGCCGGACATTTAACAACATAACAGTAATGGAAATAGAGTGGCGGTGATGGGGAGCGGCACAAAGCTGCACAACTTGTTTCTGTTTGCTGCTCGGATGCTTTCAGCTGTTGGCAAAGTCGACTCAACTAGAACTTTTGTACCAGATTTGGTAAAAAAAACCTCCTCTTCTAGGAAGGACACTCTGTGGTGCGATTTTATAACTGAACTATAACCAGGAGGCACACTTTTATTTCTTCGACTGTGTGGAAATGTGATGTTCACGTTACAGATGAGCAACGCAGGTATTAATACGTCAGTCTCCATATAGATATGAAGTCAAATATTCAAATTCAGGTCTCAGCTCTACAACCACTGAAACGTCAAGCAACGGTACAAAACAACAACAAGAGAATTTATTTTTAATTCCGATGGCTCTGTAGTTGCTGGCAGAGTTGTCCTGTCTGTGAGGGTGTGGCGTGTACAGAAAGATCCCCAGAGGCGGACTGACGTCAGTGGACCACAACCCCCCAGCAGGTTTACAGGAAACATAGAGGTAGCTTTAAGTACAGCCTGATAGAGGCAGCAATAAGGGCAAAGTGCACGTTTGTTCTCCAGATAGGCCGTGTTTATGGTTTTGTGTTTTGGCACTTTATAGGCACCAGCTGGGTTTTTGTCTAGTACAGTTTTTATTTCACTTTTGCGTTCTTCATTCTAAGCTCTTCTTTTTTTCTCCTCCTCCTCCTCCTCCTCTCTACAGTCAGCAATAGAAAGGCTCCTCCTCCGGTCCCGCCCCGCACCACATCCAAGCCCCTCATCTCGGTGACGGTGCAGAGCAGCACCGAGTCGGCCCAAGACACGTACCTTGACCAGCAAGATCGTGGCAGCGAGGCCAACAGCCAGTCGGGGCGAAGCAACTCCTCCGACAGTCTCTGTAGCATCCGCACAGGCAGTCTGGCTAAGGGGGCCCGACCTCCACCAATCCCTGTCCCCGTTGCAACCCTCGCACCCGCCGCAGGCTCTGTACCTCCTGTTCCAGCCCCTCGCGACCTCCCTCCCACCACCGCCGTCGCCACTACCGCCACTTCCACATCTACCCAGCCCCAAAATGACACCGTGAGCATCTGTGTCACCCTAGAGCAGCCCCCAACTGCAACCAAGAGGAAACTGTCCTCTATTGGAATCCAGGTGAGGACCGTCTGCTTTTCCTTTTGTGTTGTGAGGTTTCACTGGGAGATTAAAGCTACCATCACAGTTGTATTTGACTGTTTTTTTGTTTTTTTTTTTGCTCATTATTTTTTCAGGTGGGGTGTGCGCTTCTGCCAGTCTTAAGAGAGGAAACCACGTATCGCTGACTGCACCCCTTGTAAAAAGTTTCAGTCATCTCGGAGTTCCAAGTTGAGAACGGAAAGGCCGTAAGTAGACCGCTCTCAATCTTGATGTCACAGTTGAAAATGGGAGCTTACAAGTGATGTGGGTTGGTCTTACAGGTTGTTACAGTCTTCCGACAGGATGCTGTGAAGACAAAAATGTATTCAAAATACGGCAATTAATTGAAGAAATGGATAGATAGATAGATAGATAGATAGATAGATAGATAGATAGACTTATTATCTCGTTATCTCGATATATAACAAAGATCGTTTTCTCGTGATAACTAATTAATTAATAATGTGTTCATCTTGATTTCAACCTACAAGAGCTGCCACAACGGCTTCCAGTCAAGTAAACAAACCAACGTAAAGTGTAATTTACCGGTAGCCTACAGCTACAGTTTGTGGCAGCTCTTGTACCAAAGTTTCGAACGGCTTCTGTAGCCACTGGCCGAGGCTGTAGCCGACCGCTAAGTTCGTGGCAGCGCATTGGTTTGAAGTCAAGACGAACACATTGTTAATTAATTTGTTATCATGAGAAAACAAACTTTGTTTAAGTTTTTTTAAATTAATAAGTCGTTATCACGAGATAGTGATAAAAAAAATAATCCTTGGCCGTTCTCGGCTTCCGTAAATATTGCCCTTAAGGGTCATTATATGAAAATATATCGAGACATAATTGGCTGCTGATTTTACATTTACAACGCGTAGTATGAACGAATACAGTGTTGTAAAAAATAAGTGCACCTCTAGTAAACAGATGCTAAATGGCTTAATTTGATTAGTGATAGATTGAGAAGGTAACACTGGGTGAAAGTACTGCCAAAAATAAATGTAAAACAGGGATGTAAACGATGCACAATTTCAAATGTTTTAAAAATCAGCTTTGCAGACATTTGTTAAACCACAAAGCTACAGACAATATATTTTAGTGAGCAACACTGAATAGAAACATAACTTCTGTTTGTTTTTAGAAGAAAAGGCCACAGGGTGCCTTTGATATTGTGACAGTGATTTCAGCCCTAGAGGAGAGACGCTCCTGTCAGTCTGAAAGTACTGTAGCTCCTCTGCTTCTCCCTCTGTAACTGCACACACTCAGTGTCAGTCCTTCTTTCGCCCGTGCTGCTGGTGAATCTGCAGGCTGTTAAGTGTTGCTGAGGTCATTCAGCAGTCAGCCTGACAGCAGCACAGCACCCCACTGAGTGATGTCCTTTTACTCTTGTTTTGACTGTAGTGAGCTGAACATGGTGAGAAACTCACCATTTAAACTTTTCCAGTGCACTGTAATTTCCCTTAATCACATTTGTCTGACAGCCCGTTTCCTCCTCTGTTGCTCATTATCTCTGAATCCAGCAGTCAGCGAAGCTATTTTATGTAGAATACCTGATTTGTTGATAATTCCCTCCTGCTTACCGAGTGTATGTTCAGACTCTGTATGCTCCTTTGCAGTAGATGATACTGCACCATCAGCTGCCATGACGTCCCCACTGACCCCAAACTGTTAACTGTGGAATATGTTTGACACATCACTTCATTGCCTTATTTATTTAACTGTCTGTCAGAAGCTGATGTGTATGCATGTCTCTGCAGTCTCAGCCGGGACAGCAGCATGGCCTCTAGACAAAATACAGAGACTGAGCCTCATGAGCCCCAGGATGCCACACCCACAGAAAACAACACAGCCAACTGCACCAACAGTCAAACGGTGAATACCACGGCATCCAACAGACAGGACAAAGCCATGGAACAGCAGCCCCGTAAAAACACCTCGGTCCCATCCAGGATATCAACCTCTCCCCCGGAGACTCTGGACCCGGCTTTAGACCCCTCCTCGCTGCCACCGCCAGATCCCAGCCTGGAGTCCGGAAACTGCAGCTCCCACGGAGATGCTGTTCAGCCCAGCACGCCATCTTGCCTGCGAGACGGTAACTGGTTTCTGAAGCTGCTGCAGGCGGAAACAGGCCGCATGGAGGGCTGGTGTCAACAGATGGAGCAGGAGACCAAAGACAACAAGCTGTCAGAGGAGGGTAAGTGATACAGAATTGCGTGGCTGTCAAAACATGACGTAATTTCTTCCATCCTGGCAAAATTGCAATGATATTTAAAACGCACATTTGTTGAAACCGTCTGAGCCTCTTTCCTGTTGCTTTAATGAGACTGGGAGAACAACTTTCAGTGTAACTTTAGCCGCCATTATCACAGCATCTTCTAAATACAAGTGTAAATGACTGCTGAGACATATTGTGATCTGATCAGTCAAACCACTTGTCGAGGTGGTCTGGGATGTATTTGATCTTTCGTCGTGTAAATAGGCCACATAGAATGACTGCTCAGCTGACATCCTGTAAGAACACAAACCACGTGGTCTATTTAGGTCACTGTAATGCAAATTATACGCTCGGCTCTTTTACCTGCCAAGATAAGCAGCAGAACTGTCTGTTTCACCTGATTTCACCACTGAACTAGTAACCGCATTATCCCGAAACTCCCTTAAAAAATCGCACAATTTTGAGAGTTACTGAGCGAGGAGAAACATTGTAAACTTTGTGAAACGCTATCTGTTACATATTGTTAAATATTTTTGCCTTCTTGTAAATTCGGGAAACGTTGCACATCGAGTTATTTCTCACGTGGTTATTTTTCCCAGCGTGTTTTTTAAATGGCGGTCCAGCCCTCGTCTACTGCTGTCCGCTGTGAGTAACTCTCAGGCTGACAACCTGTCAGCAGCAGGGGAGGTGCACGGCGCACACTTTTACTTTCTCTGGCACTAATGTCTTTCCTCGTCATCTGTGATGTGTAAACATAAAATTTCTACACAGTCGAAAAAGCAAAAGTGAAAAGATCTGTGGAAATAGCCACTCACTATATTATACAGACAAAATATAAAATAAATAATGTAAATAGCTTGTCAAGTCAGAAACATGAAGAATCAAATTGATGTTTTTGAGGTTCACAGACAGGGGACTCGGTCAGGTCTCGTCCATATTGACTATGGACAATGAGACAAAGCACGACACAGTCATTACTGCCATTGGCTCACAGTAACGCTGCTCATTAGAGTGAGAGTAAGCTTTGTTTTAGCTGTAATAGAGCCACCGCAGTCATTTCCCCTTTTCATCTCCCAGAATACCACTCAGGCTTTTAGGCAGATCTATCTCTGCAGTGTCTTAAATATGAATGAGCAAGGAGTTGACTAGCTGTAGAGGCTCCATCAGATTATCACTCCTCCTGCTCTCTGTGGACCTGAATTATGAATTTCCATTTACATGCAAATATTAGCCAGAAAATAGCTGAATAAAGAGTAATTTGTTATCCTCCCAAAGATTGAGTTAATACATTATTTCTAAAGGAAATAACTTACTGTCCCAGAATGTTAAATGGTAAATGTTAACATGAATCTTTCATTACTAAACAGGAGTAAACTCTCCAGTCACCCCCTCCTATGTCTTGATGCCGCTCTCTAACGCTAACCCTTTTTATATAACAGAGCAAAAAGCCTCTCATCTTTACTCTGGACGTATTTTTTAAGCTCAAAATGTTTCTGTTGTCTCTCCACTTATCCTTGACAACTTATTGGTGATTTATCATTCTTCTCCTTTGTAGTGTTGGGGACGATCCGCAGTGCAGTAGGCAGTGCTCAGCTCCTCATATCAAAGAAGTTTGAGCAGTTCAGAGGCCTCTGTAATGAGAACTTGGTGAGTGGCTCCACTACATCCACTACATGTTGGCGTCTCAGCCTTTTACTGACCAATTTTCTTCTTTCTCTTGCCAACATCATTTGTCCTACATACACTGACATGCAGAAGTCTTCCTATTACATTACATTTAGAGAAGAAATGATCTTTTGGAGCAGAAACGTGGCAGACTGACAGATTGACTGAGATTTTTGTGAAAGAACTTACTTGACTCAATTGTCCTGCTGTTCCCCCTTAACCAGATCTTCTCTGCTGAAGGTCCAATACTGTTGAAATGTAATACTCTGAAAATTAAAAGCTGCCAAATGTGTTTTCTCTTCATCCATTTGCTTGAAAGGAAGCTGCCTTAAAAATATGTGTGTGGGGAGAGATGTGATCAGTTCTCTTGGATTTGACCGAAGCCATTAATCTATCACTTCTCTATACTTTCTAATTTTCCTCTCACTAGAACGTAAACGCCAACCCGCGACCAACGGCACAGGATCTTGCAGGATTCTGGGATCTGCTACAACTCTCAATAGAAGACATCAGCATGAAGTTTGATGAGCTCTACCAACTGAAAGCCAACAACTGGCAACTCCCCGAGAAGCCAGAGAAGAAGGTGATGTTTGGTGCCAGACAGTTAACTCGAGTAGGCTTGTTTCAATTAACTGGTTACTCGTTAATCTGCAACCGTTTTTCAAACAAATCTGTCAAACATTCGGCGGTGCCAGCGTCTCAAATGTCAGGATTATCTTATTGTCTCTTTATATAATTGTAAATTGAATATCTTTTGGCCTTTTCAGACAAGATGATGAATGAAAAACATTTAGTTGTCATCCTGAACTCAAGCCTTGAGGGATTTAAATGTCGAGTGTGTAGGATTTAGTGGCATCTAGTAATGTAATTGCAGATTGCATCTCTGTCGCTTCCCCTTCCAAGCGTGAAGGAGAAACTACAGCAGCCACAAAATGCTAGAAAAACATGGAACACCCGTATCCAGAGCTATTTAGGCTTGGCCCTTCTGGGCTACTGTAGAAACATGGCGGTTCAACATGGAAGCCTCCAAAGACGGCCTGTATATATGAACGGCTCATTCTATAATAATCAGGTGATTATACACACCTAAATGTTACACACTGGACCTTAAACTTAACGTCAACTTGATAAACGCTTAATAGTTTACAAATGATGTGCGTCAACACCACTGGAGGTTGTGTTTTCAGCTAGTACCTCACTGTTCCTCATTCCTTTTCCTTCTCGACATCATTTTCTCAGGATGAAAACAAGCAGCCTCCGTCATCTGTGCCAAAGAAGCAGTCTAAGCCCAAGCTGTCAGCGGGGAAGGACAGGAGTGTGGACTCGGCTGTGGACAAGCAGCGGCAAGAAGCCAGGAAAAGGTTGATGGCAGCAAAGCGCGCGGCATCAGTACGGCAGAACTCCGCCACGGAAAGCGCTGATAGCATCGAAATCTACGTCCCCGAGGCCCAGACCCGCCTCTGAGAGCGAACCGGCACCGACCATCGAGGAAAAATCCTGTCTCACTTCAGACATTCATTGACACAAACACACAGACAAATCTGACACGAACACGCAGATGTATAACGGATGCACAGAGGCCACTCCCTCATAGCAGCACAGCTGATGACAGGGGACACGTGGGGATCACAGGGCACAGAAACAATCCAGAATAATGCAGATCATCACCCTGCTGCCATGGGACTGAAATAACCTTGACAGATGCTTAATACTATTGTTATTGTTATTATTGACATTATAATAATTATTATCTCCTAAAGTATATCAGGACTGTCTTAAATGTGCAAGTATCTTGGATAAGGACATCCTGTACCTTGTGAGCTGACGAATCTTGGTATCCCAGAAGTTTACTCTCTTAAAACTCCCTTCACTGCTGAGTCTACCGGCAAGTTGTGGCTGCCTGGTTTACGAGCTGAGCTACCATCCACACACACTCAGGACACACATGCAGGTGTACTCGCTGTCCACAGAGTCTTCCTGTTCTCTATTTGTATTAGGCTGCCACTCATTGGGTGTGGTGTGTACGCTTTACGGTGTAAGAATTATAAGATGGTGTTAATGTACTCAGAGGTTTAAAAATGCAGAGAACCAGAGGAAGGCAGTAGCATATATATTAGAAATATCACACTATTACAATGTTCATTTTGTAAATGTTGTATACCAGATTATTTGTTAGAAAGAGGTCAGTGTTCAGTACCAAGGTAGTTTTTTATAGATTGAGTACATGTACTGTCATGATATATTAGCACTTGATGCAATCATCCACTCCGCCTCTCTCTCTCTCTCTTCCTCTCCTTTTCACAAACGCACACTACACAGTCTGTCTGTGAATAGCCATTGTTAAAGTCTTACATTTGTTTGTTTTTTTGTGAAGGGATGTGAGGAATGACTGCCCAGCCAGTGAGCTACAGAGGAATGTATGAAATGTATGCATTTACAGCTCGTGTCGACTTGATCACTGCACTTTCCATTCACCTCAGATCAAGTTTGCCCTCCTTTGTTTGCCTAATCATTCTGACTTTCACTGCATCCTCACGTGATGTAGGGGACCAAGACATTCACCACTTGATATGGCATTCCCATTCAACCAGACTATGTGTGATAGGGTGGGGGTTTACTTGCTACTGGAAAGGAAATGGAATAGCATAGCAATAATAAAAATCGTATTAGAGCAAGCAATGCAGTAGGTACCCAGTCTTAAATTATTTAATTCAGCATTTCCAATAATTTCTTATGAAGGATGAATGTTTCTTTTATTAACTGACTGCCCTTGAAATGACTAAAATCTCAGGTCGCATACTCAAACTCAACAGTGAAAACCACTATGGGTGGATTATTTATTATATAACTATGAAATGAATTGGCCGAATGCTCAGAGCTGTTGCCAGATAATTCAGTTCCAGACCTACTCAGTGTTCTTAAATAGGAAAAACAAGTTTTGCTGCAGTGAAGTACAGGTTTAATTTGACTGCTAAACCCAGCAGTTTCCTTCACTCCCCTTTCTAGCAGCTTGAACTCTCACCCCCTGTTTGTTGAGAAGATAACTGTGGTACATTATTTTTATTTAAATTTTAATGCCATTTGACACGTTTTGTGACTTTAATCCGAAACGAGGTCAATCTAAACGTGTCTTGGCTTCTGTAATTATAATAATTAATGGTGCTGCGAGGGACTTCAAATTGTGCCAACACGGCAATGATCATCAACATTTCAGTGTCATTTTAACACACAGGTTTTATTTAAAGTGATTCTTTTTTATTTAATCTGCTCATGAATTCCGCTGTCTGTGTGCGCATTCTCAGCAAAGTTTGTTTGTGTTTGCATCAGCTCACTCCAGATATGCTATGACTCGTCTCTGCATGAACTCATGACACTTTGACTATGGGACTGGAATATTTTCCATGTCTCAGTTTTCCCAAATGGAGCAGTGCCAAGGGTACATGAGTGGAACCGGGCATAGCAGATACTCATGCACAAATGTAGGTTGACTCACTTTTTTTAATTTGTGGTTTATTTTTTATTTTTTTTAGTAAGAGCTGGCTCTCCCCCTACTGGTCAGTCCTTGCGTGACACTCCAGACATCTTGTTCTGCTCCATCTTGAATCTTTAGTTTAACATCAAACAAGAAATGAAGTTGAACTGGGAATGCTGACACAACTCCAGGTTGTTGATTTTCTTATTCTCTTATTTGTATTACATCAACAATGGACATGTGCATTTCATTGTCCAAAGAAATCATTAAACATCCCTTTGCTACATGTCCTGGTCATCCTTCTTGCTGTCTTTTTTTTATTGCACTCATCCATAATACAATGGTAATATTAGCTGCTAAAGTTAATATTACACACAAATCATAAGCCTTAGATTAGATCTTCTACTGTTACTGTGTAATCTCTAAAAGCATGGCCTTCTTACATAGAAAAATATACAAAGATTCTTGCCGGTGAATTTTCAGTACTCCTTTAAATGGGTCTTGCCAATGATCTGAGACTATTCAATCTGTGTAAGGCATTCAGGGTATGTACTGTACATAAGAGCTTATAACTGTGACAAATGGCAGAAAGTCCTCTCCCTTTTCATATCATTTGAGAGCCGGATCCCTTTATTTGCCCCCATACTGAACTATAAGAGAGCATGACCTGATCAGGGATCTTCAGACCGTTTGTTTACCAGTACTTCCTGAGTTTCAAAGGGCTACAAAATGGACAAACAATGACCAGAAGGTGCAACTCTGGAGGCAGGACGATGTGGATGTGCTATTGAACCACCATGTGGACGAGGCAATATTCACTCGTTAAGTGATTTCTAGAATTTACAGAACACGGTCGATGCCTGTTGTCGTGAATACCTTTGGGGTAAAAAACTGGGTCATTGTGTATGCTTGATAGACAGATACACACAGAGAATCATGAGCCCATTCTTACTTCAGTACCCTCCCTCTCTCTGGCTACACATCCACTCTGTCCTCTCAGAGATCCAGCTAGGAAAATGAGCAAAAACTATGTAGTTCCAGATTATCTTGTACTGACGAACATTTATTTTACAAAATAAGCACATATCTTAACAGACGAGGGGTTGTTTAATGTTATGGTGTAATAGTTAGACACTGTGAGGCTAAAGATAATAAAAGAATTGTGATTGCAACGAGTTATGTGGCATATTTTCTGTATGAAATAAGCTGTAGAATTAAAAGGGAATGCCACTCAAATTTTGGAATGCATGTATGTTTTTCCTTGGCTATATGTTTAAAACAAATTACCTCAATTCTATTAATTGTTGTTCTTAGATCTGGTGTAGGAAAATAGTGTCCGGAAAAAACTTTGTGATCCCAAAGCCACTTTTGTTCCTTTTTTTGTTGTTTTTATTGTTTTATAACTTAAAATAAAACAAGGGTCAGCAAAACACTTTTGGTCCACCTTAGTACGTGGTCATACAAATAGTGATAACTAGCAGTATACAAGGATGTTATTTTAGGTGACTTAATTCCAATTAAGGGGAATTTTTATGCTACGTATTTTAGACAATAGTGAGGCAACACTTTGGCCCTTTCCTGTTTCAACATAACAGTGCTTTTGTGCACAGATGAGGTCCATAAAGAAATGTTTCTCCTGTTGTTTGGTGACTGTGACTGTGCCTGAGCACAGAGCCCTGACGTCAACGCCATCCAACACCGTTCACATTAATTGGAACACAGACTCCAAGCCAGGCCTTATTGACCAACATCAGCGCCCAACCTCACTAATGCTCTTTGTGGCTGAATGGGAGCAAATTCCTGCAGTCAGGTTCCAAACTCTTGTGGAAAGCCTCCCCACGCTCTTATAAGCAGCATATTAATGCTCATGGTGTCGGAGTAAAATGTTATCAAAGGGGGAGAAAAACATAGTGACACCAGATTGAAAGAAATGAGTAAGCACATATGAACCATGCCCTCCGTGCATCGTATTCTTCCACATCCCCTCTGCTTGTCCACTCATGCCTCACCAAGGTGGATCCCTCCTGCTGATAACACGTAAGATCTGATCCTCACCTATAAGCCTTTAGGTATCATTGGAGAGACACTGAATCCAAAAATGAAATTTCTACCAGAACTATATGGTGTTTTTTTGTGGGACTGTGTTACAGATATGGTATTAAAGGTCCACAGCCATTTGACATTGCCATAAAAAAGCATATAGCACTGGCTTACCATAAATAAGGGCAATAGTGACTGCAGTAGTTTAATTTGGGAATAGATGTGGCATTATACCAGTTTACTGCAGAGTGAGTGCATGATTCACAATATAGTGCTTATAATAAGAAAGGCAATAGAAACAAGGAAGGTTAGATTTATATTTCACTTCCTTCCTATGACTAATATATAACACAAACTCTCTAAATTTAGTGGCTATTAATATTCTCTACTTTCTATTTCTTTTGCGTGTTTGAACGTGCGGGAGGATGCTGTCATCTCCTTGCGTCACAGCTCCTGACGCCTCCTGCAGGCTTCATCATGGATGTGCAACAAGAATCTCGAGCAGATGCGTCAAGTCAGCGGAAGATACGCAAAACAAAACCGCCTTCAAAATAAAATCACATAGTCGCTCTGAAATATTTCTCAGTCAAGATGAATTAAAGTTGTGATATAACCTTTATAGAATCAAAAAAACACGATTGGCTTAAATGTGGTTGTTGGCTACTACCTTGTCTTCTATAAAACAACATTATCAGTAAATTTGGGTGTGACAGCACAAATCTGTGTTAGGATTGTGGGACTATTTAAACAAAAGTGTTATATACAGTTAACACTTAATACATGTTTCATTTAAAAGACACCATAATGTAGTTGCGCACAAATATTCATATTCTATTATAAATTATTATTAATTTGTTTGTGTATTTGTTAACAAATATAACTCCTCCTATAAATGATCCATAACTGCATACACAGTTTATGGAGATAACACAGTGAAACACAGTTGTATTCGTATTTATGGATTAATGACAAAACACATGAACATTGTGCTACAAGGCATTTATTAATACACGTCATACAATATGTGTGCATAATGTTTTATATTCAATGGCAACATGTAACTAAGTACATTTACTCAAGTATTGTGCTGAGGAGGAATTTTGAATCACTAGTAGTACTTTGATTTAGTATTTCCATGTTATGCTACTTTGTACTGCTACTTTACTACATTTGTGGGAAATATTGTACATTTTACTCCACTGTATTTATCTAACAGCTATAGTCACTAGTTACCTTTTACCTTTTAAATTAATATATAGATAGATAGATATACTTTATAAGGGTATTATAAAATTTGATGCAACAGGTTATAAAATTGGTCAAATTTAGCTCAACCTTAATATAATAAAATTATGCTTTAACATTAATCCGTCATCAATAATCCAATATCACAGATGATGATGAATATAATACTGTAAATTTTACTTTTGATGCTTTAAGTACATTTTGCTGCTTTGCCAACACTGACTGTATGTACTTAAGTAAAATGTTACATGCAGGACTTTTTCTACTTCTAATGGAGTATTTTTATACTGTTGTATTGCTACTAAAATATCTCAATCCTTTTCCCAACCCTGGTTATAATGTGTTAAAAAAAAACATTTATTTATTGATTATATACTGATTATAAACGCTAAACAGGTGAGGTTGAAATAAAGTGTTACCTTAAACGGTGTACTTTACTCTTTCCTTCAATATACCGGCGTTATTAAAAAAACTTACAAAAATGTTCCAGACAAGCTTTAAAAGATTTTATTTTGGAAAGCCCAACCGGAAGCTCTAGCCAGTGGTGAACTTCCGGATGAAACGGCTGACGTCAGGGAGGAGGAGGAGCTAACTCACCGAGAAGAAGTCTTCCGTGGCGGTTAAAGCCATAAAGCACCGTAACAAAGACAAAAAAAGGGAATATCAGACACCTGCTGATTTGTGGTACGTTTTTTTTTTAAATATTTGTCTTCCCATTCCCGCTTTGTTGCAGCGTCTTGTTGTTTTTGTTTGCCTTTTGAAACGACATTTGTTTTCCCTGGAAGCAGAAGTGATGAAGTTTGCAGGCCAAGAGTGAACGTAAGTGTGAATGTAGCAGACAGCCCTGCAGTGTGTGACAGGAGGACAGGATGCAACTTCTGCTCTGTTCAAACTTTACTGTTACTGTACAGCTTTGAGCTTATTGGACTAGTGTTTGTGGGTTGTCTCCTGACCAAGCTTCCCTCAGTATACCTCTAGTAGTATGAAGGCAGGAGGAGGGTATATGGACATTAGTAACGTTAATAATAATTATTAATGAATTAAAACAAGCTGTGGCTGATCCCCATGTTACCAAGTTACAGCCTACAACAGTTCCATTATGTTCATTACTCGGCTGTGATGTTGAACTGGATATTTTGCACTGTTAGTCAGACAAAACAAGACATTTGAATATGTTGGGCTTTGGGGAAGTTGTGATTGCCATTCTTCCTCTGTTTTCTGACATGTCATTGATCAAACTGTTAATTGAAAATACTTGTTACCTGCAGCCCTAAAACAAGTGAGCAAGCAGTCCTTCACATTTTTCAAGCTGTCGCCAGCAAATGTTTTGATATAAAACTGTGGCAGAGTATCATAATTAGAAGAAATGAACTTTTATTTTCTGTAGATCAACTAATTGAATAATAAACTAATGATTGAAGCATTGGTCAGTTCATAGTGAAAATATTCTAGCACTTTTATGGTATTTGGATCTGTCTTCAGGGACTCGTGTATTCACTGTATGTCTTTATCTATCACTGTGTAATCACATTGGATCTGAACATCATTCGACTGTATTGCACGCACACCTTTCTGATCGCAGCCTGCTTCATCATCAGGTGATGACGATGTGATACAGCAAAGTCGTGTCCTCAACAGAGGTGCTGACCTCATCTCACCAGTGGCCAGAGTTTGCCGTCCCCATACCAGCCGAGAGAGGACAGCAGGACGCAGATCAGACCGGTCATGGCTGGCAGACAGCAGAGACCTGCAGCTGCTTCAGACAGCTCAGCAGAGACCAAAAGGACGGACCTCAGGGCCAAAGAGAAGAAGTGCTGTGAGTGCTTTGTTTTTCCTGTGTGCCCTGAAGGTGAAACGTTGACTCATTATCTGAAGCACTAACCTGTNNTGACATTATTTAATAGAATGCAGTAACACTGAGCTGTAAATGGATCTTTTAATCACGTTTGCCACTCTGTTGGCCGTGAGTAAAGAAAGCTGATAAGGTTCCAGCATGCACTGATTGTTAAAAGTCAACTTTGACGCACCTTCTGTCATTATTGGTATGTGTACAGTGTGTGGGTGTATTTGCAAAGGCAGGCACTACGACACATATCTTTGAAGCATAGTAAGACTGTAATGAGCAAGGTCACCATCCAGCCAGTAAAAATGTCACTGAGCGCGGCTTAATTTTAACTTCACAGTCATACTTTGAGGAATCTTTAATCAGGAAGGTGCGATGGATCTAAAATGATCAAAATATGTCTTGAATGCAAAACCATTCCTGTCTGCTGTCAACTTAAACTTTCCAGACATCTGTTTGTAGAATCTCCAGTCAAGTCTGGTCTTGCCAGATCCTTTTTAGGATCCTTTTTTTAGATCTGTTTTCCCTGAGGATGGTTGTGGACACTAAAAGAAAAGGGAGAAAAATTCAGTTGGAATATTTTCCATTTGATGTCATTTCAAACAACGTTCTAGTGGATTAATAAGGTGGGTTGCTAAGCAGCAGGACCTTGAGAAACATTAACCAGCAGTCGAGAGATGGCGGTGGTATGACGGAAATGTTAAACTAAAAGTTAACCAGCTTGTATATGGACACTGTAGGGGTGACATTGGATTATTTCACAACCCTCTGTCTTCTTGTTTTGTGTATACACTAAGCATATCTGCCCTTTTACTACAAATGGGACATTTTGATGGAAAAGTAAAACACTTACCAGTATGTGAAGGGGGCTGCAGGTCATACATTATTATTTTTTTTTTTACTTTTTTATTTTATTTTTTACTTGTATGCTTAACTAACTAAATCTCTGGTTGTGTTTATGTTTGTGTGTGTATGCATGGTTTTTGTGTGTGCAAACTGCAGCATGGGCCTCCTACATGACCAATTCTCCAACTGTGATAGTGATGATTGGGTTGCCCGCCAGGGGGAAAACCTACATGTCCAAGAAGCTAACACGCTACCTCAACTGGATTGGAGTGCCAACTAAGGGTCAGTACAGAACACATTAAGTTTAAGTTCTGTAAGTTGATCCGCAGGAAATAAAACCAATAAGAATCAGGTTAAGAGTGCATCAGCAGGTAGCTTAATGCCGTTCAGAGATATTCATTTTCCTGAAAATCTTGTGCTTAAGGCTAAGCTGTGGTAATGTAGTTATATTTGTATCAACGCCTCTCATCAAATGACTTGTAGTTGTACGCTTATGGTGTCATATAAATGGAACTCTGAACCAGGAGGACTGGTTTGGCAGACTCAGTTGAGATAAAGGTCACCGCCTTGGCAGAGCACGTACTGTAATCCTTTTTAAACTGAGTCTCTCTCCACTCTCTCCCCTTGCAGTATTCAACCTTGGAGTTTATAGGAGAGAAGCAGTGAAGTCATACAAGTCCTATGACTTCTTCAGACATGACAATAAAGAAGCAATGGAAATTAGAAAGTGAGTAAGAGAGTCCCTCTGCATGTGTTACAGGTGGCTTCCTGTCGTGATTACCCATTAAAAAGATGTGGTTACTTTTCATGTCGGCTAACCATGCAAATGCCTTTTTTGACTGCGCTTTGTTTTGTATAACAAACATGGCTACAATCATCACAGCACATTATTTCTTGAAGATGCATTTAATAGCCAACTGGTTTGATTTTCTCATTATGCTTCCACAGACAGTGTGCCTTGGTGGCACTGGAGGATGTCAAGTCCTATCTGAATGAGGAGGGAGGCCAAATCGCTGTAAGGACACACACAACAGTTTTTCGGTCAAGTAGGACAAAATACTCACAATTCACTTTTTTATTTGGCTCGCATTACAATAGAAAAACGCTAACGCATCTTGGCACAGAGCCTTCGTCAGAGCGTTTGAAGTGTGCAGGTTCAGTTCAGCTAGAATCCACAGCTGGGAGTTGGAGCCCGTTGTTAGGAGACCAATCACTACTATATATAGATTAAATCAGATTTTAACCCTATTACATACAATATGAAGCTTCACAAAACAGTCATTATTCATCTGGTTATCATTGAGATTGTTAAGTACACTAGATGGCAGTAGAGATGCATTTGAATAAACTCATTTCATTTTTCCATTATAGATCTTGAGGATGTTTCCACATCCTTTAGTAGTCAGTGGTCGCAGTTATAGTTTGTGGGTTTCGAATGATTACAAACAGCACATGCAGATACAAACTGTATCTGTATTGTAATGTAATGTCATTTGCTCTGAACACCCTGTGTTGTCTATCAGGTTTTTGATGCCACCAACACCACCAGAGAGAGGAGGGACCTCATCCTTAATTTTGCAAAGGATAATGCATACAAGGTCAGTGATACTCAGATTATATATATATATATATTTTTTTTATGAATTATGAATTTATAATCTTTATTGTCTTTTGTCAGGTATTTTTTGTTGAGTCAGTATGTGACGATCCAGATGTCATCGCAACAAATATCATGGTAAAAACTTTTTTTCTTTTCTTTATTCTTTTTAAGCTTAATTATTAGCAGACCTTTGTCCTTGAGTTGTTAGACGTCATCGTGAATCATCTCTACAAATGTTTCTTTTATAAAGGACGTGAAAGTGTCAAGCCCAGATTACCCTGAGAGGAACAGAGAAAGTGTCATGGAGGATTTTCTAAAGAGAATAGAGTGTTACAAAGTGACCTACCAACCTCTGGATCCGGACGAACACGACAAGTAAGAGGGCATTTTGTGAAGGAAACTAATAATTGCATTTCTTTACTTTTTACCTTGACTTTGTTTAACACAATAACCCAATCAAAGCAAGAGTCATTTAGACTTAACTCTCATAATGTTCTGGTGTTGTGCTTATACATTATCTGGGTATTGTGTTGAACATTCACTTGCAGAAGCTGTCCAGCAGATGGGGACATTAGCTCAATATAGATGAGTACAGTCGACATCTGCTCTCTTTGAAAAGTGTCCTGAGATA